TTGCGTTGATTATATTCTACTAATCATAAAGATATTGGAACATTATATTTAATTTTTGGGATCTGGTGTGGATTGGTCGGTACAGGTTTAAGCTTGTTAATTCGTTTGGAATTAGGAACATCTCTTGTACTGTTGGATGAACATTTTTATAATGTAATTGTTACAGCACATGCTTTTGTAATGATTTTTTTTATAGTTATACCAATAATAATTGGAGGGTTTGGGAATTGAATAGTGCCTATATTAATTGGTGCTCCTGATATAAGATTTCCTCGAATAAATAATATAAGATTTTGACTTTTACCACCTTCCTTTATCTTATTATTATGTAGGTCTATAGTTGAGGGTGGAGTTGGAACTGGATGAACTGTTTATCCTCCTCTATCAGGACCTGTAGCTCACTCTGGTTCCTCAGTAGATCTTGCTATTTTCTCATTACACTTAGCTGGGTTATCATCTATTCTAGGTGCTATTAATTTTATTACTACTATTTTTAATATACGTTCTCCTGGTATTACACTGGAACGAATAAGCTTATTTGTTTGATCAGTGTTAATTACTGCATTTTTATTATTATTGTCATTGCCTGTTTTAGCAGGGGCTATTACTATACTATTAACTGATCGAAATTTTAACACTAGGTTCTTTGATCCAAGAGGAGGGGGAGACCCTATTCTATATCAACATCTATTTTGATTTTTTGGTCATCCAGAAGTGTATATTTTAATTTTGCCTGGATTTGGAATCATCAGACATATCTTATCTAACTTTACTAATAAACCAGCATTTGGTACCTTAGGAATAATTTATGCTATGTTAAGTATTGGTGTCTTAGGTTTCATTGTGTGGGCACACCATATGTTTACAGTAGGTATAGATGTAGACACTCGAGCTTATTTTACAGCAGCAACTATAGTAATTGCTGTACCAACCGGAATTAAGGTCTTTAGCTGAATAATAACGATTTATGGAAGTAAATCTAAACTTACTGCTAGTATATACTGAGTGTTAGGATTTATCTTTTTATTCACATTAGGAGGGTTGACTGGAATTGTACTTTCAAATTCATCTCTTGATATTATATTACATGATACCTATTATGTAGTAGCTCATTTTCACTATGTATTATCAATAGGAGCCGTCTTCGCTTTATTTGCTGGGTTTGTTTATTGATTTCCAGTAATTACTGGATTAACTATACATGAATCTTGGTCTAAAATTCATTTTTTTATTATATTCTTTGCAGTGAATATAACATTTTTTCCACAACATTTTTTAGGCTTGGCTGGAATGCCACGACGGTATGTTGATTATCCTGATACATATTACAAGTGGAATCAAATCTCATCATTCGGATCACTATTCAGAATTATTGCAGTATTAATATTCATCTTTTTAGTATGAGAGGCCCTAACGTCACAGCGGAGTTACTTATTTTCTGAAAGCTCACATAGTTCTCGAGAATGAGATTACGCACTTCCTCCAGATTTTCATAGTAATCTAGAGACTAGTGTTTCTCCTTTATAAATGTGTATCTAAATTAGACATTTTCAAAAACAGTTATGGTTAATATTAACTTTGGAAGTTAAAGAGTAGTGAACACTATTTTTGAATATATTCATGTCCTTAGTTATAATAGGTAATTTATACTTGCTTCTAAATCATAAAAACCATATTAATTTATTAATCATTATTTTTTACACTTGTGTTTTAGGTGGACTATCAGTCTTGGAAAGGGTAAATTTAACCTATTTTTTGATAATAATCGTTTTTGTCGGTGGTATCATGGTATTAATAATGTATACTGTTATAATGACATCTAATTTACTCATTATATGAAATATGAAATGAATTTGTTCATTTATTTGTATAATTGTGTTAGTAGCAGACTGAAATACATCAATTGGAAGTTTAATGAGGATAAATATTAATTTTCCTCTATATCTATTAGTAACACTTATTATATATTTGTTCATTGTAATGATCGCTAGTTATAATATATTAAAATCTACCAAGAACTTGAATGTGTATAATTAAATCTAATAATAAATTTTCTATTTTATTGTTTTGTAGGAGCTTGGTTTTTTTTATATTATTTCTTCTAACAAATTACTTTAACACAACAGTCTTTTTACAAATTAATCTAGCTACGTTTAGTGCTACTCAATTTGAACTTGCATATGTCTTAGATTGGGTATCCATAAGTTTTTTATCATTAGTGTTTCTAATTTCGGGGTGTGTTTTTATATTCGGAGATGTCTATATAAAAGAAGATGTATTTCAAGTTCGGTTTTTTATTATTCTTCTGACCTTTGTGATTTCAATATGTATATTAATTGTGTCCTCATCTTTCTTAACTATATTAATAGGGTGAGATGGATTAGGAATCACGTCGTTTGCACTTATTATTTATTACAGGTCATTCGAATCAAAACAGGCTGGGTTTAAAACACTACTTATTAATCGTATTGGGGATGTATTAATTATGCTGAGTGTATTCAGATTTTTACAAAATGGTACGTACATATTATCTGTTATAAGTACAACCTGTTTGTTTTTATTATTACTCGCTAGACTTACAAAGAGAGCTCAATATCCATTTAGATCGTGACTTCCCGCTGCGATAGCGGCTCCCACTCCCGTTAGTGCTCTAGTTCACTCCAGGACACTAGTAACCGCAGGTATTTATTTAATAATTCGTATCATAATCATTTCTGACTTTTGCGAGCTCACAAGTTCAATATTAGTGTTCTTAGGGGCAGTAACTTCTATTCTAGGAGGATCAGCTGCTGTATTTGAAAATGATCTTAAAAAAATCATTGCCTTATCAACGTTGAGTCAACTCGGTGTGATAATGTTTACTGTTGGAATGGGATACCCGTTGTTGGCTTTGTTTCACTTATATATACATGCTTTATTTAAGGCTATACTTTTCATGGCGGCTGGAAATATTTTGATAATTTCTTTTGGGTGTCAAGATTTACGCCTTCTTGGTGGTGTAGGGATACTAAGTCCACTGACGAGTGTAATTATTAATGTAAGTGGACTTTCATTAATGGGTATTCCCTTTTTAAGTGCATATTATTCTAAACATTCTGTTATAGAGAAAATGTTTACCACTAGGATTAATATGTTATCCTTAAGATTAATGTCTATTGCAACAGTTTTTACTTTTATTTATACTTTACGTATATTATATTGTATTAGGTGAAGTAACAGAGGTTTAATCATCGGTTCTGTAAACACATCAAAAAAGATTTATTTACCTATAGTTATTCTTGCATTATGTTCCTTACTTTTAGGAAAATATTACTGTTCATTTGATTTTTCGAATATAGAACCTAGTGTAGTACCAATATATGGATTATTATATATAAATCTGTCAGTTCTTATCTCTTTATGTTTATTTATGTATGTGTTTAAAGCGGGAAAAAAAAAGAATTGGATATTAAGGAGCTTGTTTTATGCAAGGCCACTATATTATAAATCTCCTTATATTTTATTCAAATTACATAAAAATTTAGGTCAGTTAGATAATGGTTGGTTAGATATAGGGAGAAAAATTAATTTAATATTTTCTGAACGTTCGCATATAATTATTAAATATTTTAAATGACCCTCTTAATTTTATCTAATTTACTAACATGCTTATGTATTTTATTAGGAGTAGCTTTTTATACACTACTTGAACGAAAAGTGTTAAGCTACATTCAGATTCGAAAAGGACCTAAAATAATTGGCGTAATAGGACTATTACAACCTATTTCAGATGCAGTAAAGCTTTTCACTAAAGAAATATTGTTACCACATAAAACTAACTACATAATGTACTGGGTTAGACCCATAGTGGCTTTTAGTTTAGCAATGATATTTTGAATTATGTATCCTATAACTAACGGTACAAGAACCTTAAACTTGTCTATAGTTATCTTCTTAGTATTATCATCATTAAATGTGTTTGGAATTATAATGTCTGGCTGGGCTTCCAATAGAAAATACGCTTTTTTGGGAGCAATACGGGCAATGGCACAAACTATCTCATATGAAGTGAGTTTTGTTTTTATTGTATTATTTGTTACTTTTTTATCGTCTAGACTAAGAATTGAGGAAGTAAACACCGGTTTTGGTTACTTATTACTGTTTTTCCCGTTATTGATAATTTTTATTAGCAGTATTATAGCTGAGACTAATCGAGCTCCTTTTGATTTTGCTGAGGGCGAGTCGGAGTTAGTCTCTGGATTTAACGTAGAATATGGTGGAGGTGGATTTGTACTGTTATTCTTGGCAGAATATTCGAACATTTTATTTATATCAGTACTGGCAAGGAGTATATGTTTCGGGGTAAGGCAAATGAGAATAATTAGAACAAGGGCTCAATTCACCATAATATCATTATTATTTCTATTAGCACGAGGAGCCTATCCCCGACTGCGTTACGACCTATTGATGAGCTTGTGTTGAAAGTGCTACCTTCCAGTATCTATATGTATTATTATTATAATTGGTCCGATAATTTAGAGTTTTACTTAGTTTTAATCAATCAAAATAATAACTTGTCGAGTTATAGAAAATATAAATTATTAGTAAAATATCGCACAACTAACAAATAGCTTAAATTAAAGCAAAGCAGTGAAGATGCTTTCATGGTTGTCTAATCTTTGTTAGTTTGAGATTTTGAGGACAATTAAATTTAATAGACCCAGCGTCACCTATTCAGGAAGAGATAATTTTATTTCATGACCACGCTTTAACATTACTTATTGGTATTTTTGCCTTCGTATGTATCATAGGTGTAAGGTTACTTATTACTAGACTATCCACACGGACTATCGTAGAGGCTCAACTATTAGAAACCGTCTGAACAGTAATTCCAGCACTACTATTACTTTGGTTGGCTTTTCCAAGTATACGATTGTTATACCTACTAGATGATAATAGCAATTCCGAGATAAGCTTAAAAAGAATTGGTCATCAATGATATTGAAGTTACGAGACTAATAGTGTGAAGATTGAGAGTTACATGATTAGTGATCATAATTATCGTCTACTAGAAGTAGATAAACCCCTCTTACTACAAATTCACACAAACTATACTAATCTCCTAACAAGAGCTGACGTGTTGCATTCGTGGGCCTTACCAAGAATCGGTGTAAAAATAGACGCTGTCCCGGGACGGCTAAACAGTATGAATCTCTATTGAAACTATCCTGGTATTTACTACGGACAGTGCAGAGAAATCTGTGGAGCTAACCATTCTTTCATGCCGATTCAAGTAAAAATTTGAGACCCGAATTTTGAGAAGCAAATATATTGTGAGTGCGCATAGTATAGGAGTAATCAAATTGTATGTTCTTAGTATTAATGCAACTATGTGGAGTGAAAGACATCGAAGCTATCAACGATTATTCTAATTGAACAGACAACATGGTGGTAGKCAAGCGTTTTAGTACCACCGAGTTAAGAGTAGTGTCTACAAAATGTACAACTGTTCTAGTTGATCTTGAACCCATTTGTGAATTTAAGTAGGCTACCTATTGAAAAAACTAGACCTGTTTTTGGTGGCAGATATGTAGTGCCTGTCATTGTAAATGGCAATAAGAATTATATTCCCAATATAATAGGACAATTAATTAATCCGTAGACCTTCAAAGTCTGAAATAATCTGGTGATTTTATATTGTATTGTGACTTTCTTCTATTTGATTATCATTATTACTTCAGTTTTTATCTTCATCAATCATAAGTCTTACTTATACTTTGTTGTTATTTTGGAATTATTGAGTCTAGAAATCCTTATTGTTATTTTTTTCTACAGTAGCATAATCTTTAGTACTGGTGATTTCTTGATAATAATGACCCTTGTAACATCTGAGGCAGCTATAGGTCTTACCTTAATAGTAACTATTTTGCGAGCTAACGGAAGGGACATAGTGAGAAATAAAAATATGACAATAGTATAAAAACATGGTTTAAAGTAAAACATTAAGTTGCAAACTTAAAGATGGTATTACCTGTTTTTTCTGGAAATTAAAATCCTCCTAAAAGCTCAAATCTTTTTGTGCAACTTAATGTTTTACACCTAGAAAAATTAATTAGGGTGTTCATTTGAATATAAAGTAATTAATAAAGTGAAAATATAAGCCTGAATAAAGCAAACAAATACTTCAAAAAAATTGTACGCAATTGAAAGTATCAACAGAATTCTTCTGGAGAATCTAGTGCTACATGAACTTAAGCAATTAGCAACAAGAGCTAGTACAATATGACCAGCTCTAATATTTGCAATTAGACGAACTGTTAACGTCAATGGACGGATTAGAACGCTGATCGTCTCAATTAAAATTAAAAATGGAGTAAGCATAGTCGGTGTACCTCTGGGTAAAAAATGAGCAAAGAATTTTTTAGGGTTAAAACTAATTCCACTTAGAATAAGGTATCCTCATAAGGTTAATGCTAACCCGGATGAAAATCAAAGTGATCTACTTAAACCAAAGGTAAATGGAGTTAAACCTAACAAATTAATGAAAGCAATGAAAAAAATGAGTGCCCCCGGTAATCCACTTTTTGTTTTAATGACATTATTTGAATGCAAGGATAAAGAAGAATTAATGCTATATAAATGTGATTTTGTTGATAAAAATATACACACAAGTAAAGGTATTATTCAGATATAAAAACTAATACACCCATCTAGAGAAGAAAATAGGTCAGTGTAGATTTATCAAAACGGGATAGAAATCCCGAGGTCCAAGGCCGAAACTTGGCGCAATTATTCGCTTTCTTGACATTTTATTTAAGGTATTGTAAATTACAATACTTCTCTATCTCGAAAAGATAGTGTGTTACTTCTCACTACTTAAACAGGTACAAATTCATTTACACCTACTGTGTTACGACTTATCTCGTTTGTTTTGTTGTAAATTACGAGAGTGACGGGCGATTTGTGCACAATCTAATATAATATTCAAGATTTAATCATTATAATATAAAGTATCTTTACTTTCAAGTCCAACTATTTGTGATCTGTTTAAGATCACACCTGAAAAAAAATAATATTGTAACTCACCTCAACGGCTTAACTATTTGCTACACCATGACCTGTATTATATTTGTTTAATAAATGATTGGGCATACTTTAAGTAAGTCCTAAACGGCAATATATAAACTATTAAGTTAAGTAGAATTGCTTGGGGGTTATCTATTATCTGGTAAGTTCCCCTGAATAATTTAGACTGCCGCCATAATCTTTAAGTTTTAACCATAATTCGGTTTTAGTGCTTAGAGTTTTAATTTTTGCTTTTTATAGTAGGGTATCTAATCCTAGTTTACTAAATTTTATAAAGTTTCGGGTATTTTAGATTAACAAATTCAGACATTGTTAGTTAATACTAATTAAAACACATTTTACTATCTTTCTAATTTTTTAATGTCCTACATTTGTGCCCCACTCTAACGATATTAAATATGTTTAAGGTATGACCGCAACTGCTGGCACCTTATTTGTTACATTATGTTGAAATTGCACTAAAATTCTATTACTAGATTAAATTAATGTTTTTTGCTGGATACTCAATAAATTCCATGTCAAATTGCTATTTCATTTTAATATCTTCACTAGAATAAAATGAGGAGGTTTTAAGAGACTTTGTATCATTTTTGGGTTATGGGCCCAATAGCTTCGAGGTTAGCTTATCTTAAATATTAATCATAAAGAGTAAATCCTTACATTCTTTGACTTACAAAATCAATGCTTTAACTCACTTTTAAGCTATCTTTATAATTATGATCCCCATCAATAGATACTGATATACAAGAATAATCAGACCACATCAACAAAATGCCAATATCATGCAGCGGCTAAGAATCCAACGTGGTGATTAGATCTAAAGTGGTAATTAATTAACCGACAGAAACACACAATAAGGAATGTTGTCCCTACGGCTACGTGCAGTCCATGGAATCCAGTCGCTATAAAAAAACATGACCCATAAACCCTATCCCTAATCGTGAAAGAAGTTTCTTGGTACTCCCCATATTGTAAAAATAAAAAGTATAATCCCAGAAGACAGGTAACTCCTAATCCATCCCGTGCTCTTGCTAATTGTTTTTCCTCAATGGCATGATGAGCTCAAGTAATGGATACACCAGATAATAATAAAACACAAGTGTTTAAAAGTGGGACCTGGAAGGCTTGAAGAGGGTAAATTCCTGTAGGGGGCCAATGAGACCCAATTTCAACAGAAGGTGCCAACCTGCTATGAAAATAAGCTCAGAAAAAAGCGAAAAAAAAACACACTTCCCTAATAATGAAGAGTCCTACACCGATTTTAAGACCTTTAACAACAAATGTTGTATGATGGCCTTGTATAGTAGACTCACGAATGACATCACGTCATCATAAGAAAGAAATTAAAGCGGTAGTAGCTAAGCCTAAAAGTAGAAGTGAAATATTATTCGATCGAATTATATTAATTATACCAATAGGTAAACTAAGCGTTCTAAAAGACACAAGTAAAGGTCAAGGGCTAAATTCTACTAAATGAAATGGCTGACGAATAATAATATACTATTATCTAGCTATATTTAACATATAACAATTGTATAAACATCCGCCGGTAGAACGGAAATCATTGATGTTGATTAATATGAAAGTTAAGTATTACATTTTCGGTGTTTATTAGAAGTATATATGTTTATATATCAACCATTGTTTTACTTCATAGCATTTCTGGGGCAAATACTTTCGATTATAAGTTCAAGGTGATTATTAGTTTGGTTAATGATAGAATTAAGACTTTTGACTATTATACCAGTCATAGTAAATTATGGGAAATATTTGACATTATCCTGTGAAGTTACCATAAAATACTTTATTATTCAAAGCATAAGAAGAATATGAATTATGTTAGGGGGGTATATATTATGAGACCTGACCACAGGGCCCGGAGTATTCATACTGGTTTTCTTGATTGGTTTAATATTTAAGTTAGGATTGTTTCCGGGGCATTTTTGAGTAATTCAAGTGGTTTCAGGACTGAAAAAACTTCCTCTTATTTTTATTTTATCTATTTTGAAACTGGCACCACTATTTCTAATAGTTACACTAAATATCTCTGTGAATATCGACCTATTTAGTGTAATAGGAGTAATATCCCTCGTAGTTGGTGGATTGCTAGGTATTATTCAATCAACAGTCCGGGGAGTGTTGGGAAGGTCAAGTATCTCCCATAGAGGGTGGATGATTATTACTATTATGATAGATACCTTTATTCCCTATTTTTTAGCTTATGTTGTAACACTAACTATATTTTTACTAGTATGAGGAAAAAATAATTATCTAGCTAGTATAATAATGATTTCGTTTTCTGGACTTCCCCCATTCCTGTTGTTTTACCCGAAAGTCTTAGTATTCTCGATATTAGTTGAAAATTCGATATGAGCCATCATTGTGTGTTTAGTGATAATGAGTGTTGTCAGGTTATATTTTTATTTGAAAAGAAGTTACTCGTTGGTTTTAATTCGAATTTTGAATTAACTGCCTTGTCGAATAACCAAATAGTTACCTTTTTGGTAGCTTATATTTAAAGCAATTAACTTTTAATTAATAGATTGGAACACCAATTTTATCGTGACTTCCCCTTTATAGGTAGAGATTTATCGCTACTAAAATTCATTTTTTTTGAAGTATGGATGAGAAAATAAAGTACTAACCTAGTACGGTTTATTTACATTAAACAGGTCCAGATACTTAAATTACCTGGTATTTTCATGTAAGTGTTGATACTTAATCATATAATTCTAATCATGGTAAACCAGAAATGGAAAAATTCATATATTATCAAAACTATTTAGTTTTCTGTTTGATTACCTTTTGCATAAGTGTTTTACTAAAAAGTAATTTAGAGGTTAATCTACTCGAATCAAATTTTATGATCTAATAAGTAAATCGGTTTAGTGTATTATATCTTGGTATAAAAAATATTTTGTGGCATCAAAATTAATATCTATAAATATTTATTAGGGGTGAAAAACCTTTCAAATTTTGTGATAGCTGGATAGCGGGGAAAAGTATTTAGTACTTTAAACAGTATAAAATTGTTTAGAATTTTATATATTCAGAAAATTATTTGTTCAATGTTAAAAGTGTAAGTCAAACTTGTTATTTTACTAAGCTTTATAGCATTTATCACTGATGACAGTTAACACTGTATTTGTTCAGTTGTCAACATTAAATATGTATATAATAATTAATTTAATTCTGCAAAATTACCCGCCAAAATTTGATCTTATGTTACTAGATATTATTATAGAATAACCTATAAGAATTTCGTAATATTAATAATGTAAAAATTAGTAAAATTTTTAAATATTTTTTATTGAACTCGGCAAATCACCTATTCAACTGTTTATCAAAAACATAGTCGGCAGATGAACTAAATTTTTATTGTCGATATCTTCTGCCCGGTGTTTATAATAAACGGCCGCAGTACCTTGACTGTGCTAAGGTAGCATAATCAATTGGCTATTAATTGTAGTCTAGAATGAATGAAGTAATGAATAGTAACTATAATAATAAATATTATTTTAATTTAATGATCTGGTGAAAATACCAGTATATAGAAAAAAGACGAGAAGACCCTTAGAGTTTTTAAAATAAAGATTGTTTAATACTTTAATATATCCAACTCTTAAAGTAGTTATACAACACACTTTTTTGTTGGGGCGACAAGAAAGCAATATAACCTTTCTATTGACACTTAAAGTGGTATTAGATCTGACGATGTTATTATGGATGACTAAACTACCTGAGGGATAACAGCATAATGATAAATATTAGTTTGTGACCTCGATGTTGGACTAGGGACTTGTACACTAACCGTGATCAAAGCTTGTTCTGTTCGAACAATAAACCCCTACATGATCTGAGTTCAGACCGGCGTAAGCCAGGTCAGTTTCTATCTTTTGTTGATTTATTTTTAGTACGAAAGGACCGGAATAAATATTAATTAATAATTTTTTAATTTGGCAGATAAATGCAACTGATTTAGAATCAGTAGATGGTGGTCACATCAGTTGGAAATATACTTTAAGGATAAAGAAGAATTAGTTTGCAACTAATAAGTGAATATTGTTAAATATTCTGTTTCCATATAAAATTAAAAAATACTGTCATTAAGGAAATCACATACTTGCCAAGACCTATGAGTCTCTCTATCTGATGAAACATAGGCTCAATTATAGGTCTCATGTTATTTTTGCAAATTTTAACTGGATTTTTTTTATCCATACACTATACAGCTAATATTGCCAGATCTTTTGAATCTGTTATTCATATTATTCGTGATGTTCCAATAGGTTGGTTGGTCCGCAGTCTCCATGCTAATGGAGCCTCTTTTTTTTTTGTTTTTATATATCTTCACATTGCTCGGGGTTTGTATTACCAAAGTTATATCACTCAACCTAAATCTTGAAGGGGGGGGACTAAAATTTTTTTATTGAGCATAGCAACAGCATTTTTAGGGTATGTCCTTCCTTGAGGTCAAATGTCTTTTTGAGGTGCTACAGTAATTACTAACTTTTTATCCGCTATCCCTTATGTGGGTAATATTGGGGTAAAATGAGTATGAGGAGGTTTTAGTATTGGTCAGGCTACACTAAATCGATTTTATTCACTTCATTTCATTTTACCATTTATTATTATAATTCTGGCAATATTACACTTAGTTTTTCTCCATGAAAAAGGCAGCACTAACCCATTAGGTTGTGTTAATCATATTAGAAAAGTTCCCTTTCATCCTTATTTTACGTGAAAAGATAGTGTAGGGTTTATTACTGTATTAATAATATTAATTTTCGTATCTTTATACTTCCCAAATTATTTAGGAGACCCCGAAAATTATCTGTTAGCTAATTCGATAGTTACGCCAGTACATATTATACCAGAATGATATTTTTTATTTGCTTATGCAATTTTACGATCCATTCCTTCTAAATTGGGTGGGGTTATCGCTTTGGCTGCTAGTATTATAGTATTGTTTGTACTACCTATAATTAAATTTGAAAAAATAATTTCTACATCGTTTAACTTGATATATCAAGTTCTGTTTTGGTTGTTTTGTGGTAATTTTATATTATTGACCTGGCTAGGGTCTTGTCCTATTGAAGCCCCTTATAGTACCTTAGCTGTCCCAAGAACATTTTTGTACTTTTTACTATTGTTAATAATACCAGTGAGATCACTACTGTGAAAATATGCCTTGGAGAAATAATATATTTGTTTTTAGTAGTATAAATATTACACTTACCTTCCAAGTAAAAAATCTTTTTAAAAGCTCCTGTAGTAGGTTAAAATAAACCATTAGTTTGTGATACTAAAAATATATTGTCATCTATAGGTTGTTTTAAGAGGGACTTAACCCATCTTAGACGCTTAAAGTCTATGCATTTTAGTCTGCCATCTTAAAGTAATTGTGAGTATTTAGATTTAGTATTATGGATTAATAATTTATTTCGTAATTTTTTTATTTCGATTATATGAATTTAAAATAATAATAAAGAACAAAGTCAAGTTTACTAATAGGAAAATAAGAATTCCATAAGTTGGTCTGAGTTGAGGAATGTTTAAATGACTACATAATTGTATCTACTTAATTAACAGTTAAGTGCTTTTATTTAAGCTACATTTAATCTTTATAATTTTCAATCCAAGGCACCATTATGTCATTCCAGAAATACCCCCGCAAGAAGAATCAACAGAATTACTATTAGGATCAGGATACTCTGATGGTCTACATAGATTTGAAGTGAATAGGCTAAAGGAAAAAACAACGCGAGTTCGATATCAAATACAACAAATAGCACGATTAGCACAAAAAATTTCGTCGAGAATGGCTGTCGTATTTTTCTTATTGTATCGTACCCACACTCAAACGATCTGAGTTTACTAAGATTTTGGTTTGTTATGATGAATTTTGATAGTAACAAATATATTATAAATAAAGCGGACGACAGAATTATACAAATGAACACATGTCTGGTTATTATTTTTTGTTGAGATCCTCTTGATATACCTCTGGATCGATTTTCAAAATCGTTCACTTAACAAAAGTTATAAAGAAAGATAATATTGAAGCTGCTAACTTTAATAGGGGAGGAATTTTACTTCCGTCTTTCTTAGATATGATAATATCAATTTTTTTTGTTCTGATAGGTAGTATTTTATTATGTAATAATTGAGTTTTTGTTATAATTTCTCTTTCTATGGCATGTTTAATAAGATTAATTAATATTAACCAATTTTTTACTTTTAGCTTAAACATTAGATGATACTCAAGATCTCTGAGAAATATATTGATTTTTTTAACAGTTTATCTTTTTTTATTGGTTTTTCTTACCTCTAAAAATCTATCATCTGTTAAATTCAATACTACACTGATCATATTAACAATCTTCCTAGTTGTGACGTTTAGTACGAAGAATTTATTTTATTTTTATATATTTTTTGAGGCCTCTTTAATTCCTACATTAGCCCTAATCATCGGCTGAGGGTATCAACCCGAGCGCTTGCAGGCCGGTACCTATATAATATTATACACAGTTTTCGCTTCACTGCCATTGTTGGTCATAATTATGTATTTTTTTGATGTACATAATACTTGTGATTTTCAAATTTTAGAACTGTTAATCAAATCCCCTTTGGAGTGATATATAGTCATTTTTGTTTTGACTGCATTTTTAGTGAAACTACCAATTTATAGTACTCATTTGTGGCTTCCTAAAGCACACGTAGAAGCTCCTTTAGCTGGGTCAATAATCTTAGCTGGAGTATTGTTAAAATTAGGAGGATATGGGTTGATTAAAATGGGAACTACATTTATGATCAGAAGAATAAATCTTGTAAGGGTATTCGTCTATTCTTTAAGTATTTGGGGTGCTGTTTTATCTAGGTTGATATGTTTACGTCAAGTTGATGTGAAGGCTATAGTAGCTTATTCGTCAGTAGGACATATGAGGGTGGTGGTCTTAGGGGCATTATATAACAACACTTCAAGTGTCTTTGCGGCTACTGTAACCATATTTGCCCATGCTTTTAGTTCATCTGCCTTGTTTTGTTTAGCTTATTATAGATATGAAAAAATTTCAAGACGAAGTATAATATACATAAAAGGGTATTTAATAATTTTTCCGATATTATCATTACTATGATTTATTTTTACCTGTATTAACATAGCAGCTCCACCAACATTAAATTTAATTGGAGAGATATTAATTGTTCCAATGCTATCAAATTTAGGGGTATATTTTATAGTAACTATAGGTCTGTGTATTTTTTTATCTGCCTGTTATAATATATTTTTATATACTGCGGTCAATCATGGTAAAGGTAGTGAGTTTATTATTGGAGGAAATCAGATAACTAATAATCAAATATTAGTAATAGTAATACACATAACACCACTATTACTTTTGTTAAAAATAAATCTATTTTGCT